TATTAAATAAACTCACAGGCATCTTAATAACATTTTGACATGTTCTAACTTAAAAATAAAATGTGACAAGACAGTGGAAGGATGGCAACAATAGTGACAAGACTTTTTTTTTCTTAAATAATAAATTTTATTTTTATATTCCCCCATACAATTGCAAATGCCCCATTCTGACCCCAATCCCTCCCCTCCCGGCCCCCACCCCCCAAAAAGTGTCTCTGGTTCATAGTTTTTTGTTGAGTGACGAGACTTTTTAAACTTCCTGAGAGCCCCTGATTAAAAAAAAACAAAGTGGAATAACTAAGTCTATACACAACTAACTACAATAAAGAAGTTTCCCCACAGCCCCAAAATATAAGTGAGGAGAGCAACAAAACACCAAGAGCTACAAGGGTCATGTAAAAGAGAAAGCAGAGAAAAACAACAGGGCAACTGACAGGCAAAGAATACCAAAGTAGCTCATAGGCACTGGCTGGGAATCTCAGAAGGCTGGTTTGGGAACAGTAGCTGAGACTGAGAACAGCTTTGCACATTCAAGAGCAGATGCCTGCAATGGGTGTGTAGTGAGATTTGCAAGGACAAGAGCAGTTTGAAACACAAACTCTCAGAACTCTCTAAACTCTACCCGCAAACTGAGGAGAAAATGCTGGGTGAGAATTCAAATGTAGAGATTAGAAAATAGGAAAATAAGATGGAGATGAGAAGAGGGGAAAGAGCCAGGAGATGTCGAAATAAGCCAGCACCCTGGTGAACACTTCATGAAGACAGAAGAGTGAGCTCTAGAGCCTGAAGTTAGAAAGATATCCTGAACCACTCATCCTTCAGCTTTGCACCAAACCCTTTAGACTCAGCTGGTCTATTGATTCAAATGCTAATGTCTTCCAGAAATACCCTCACAGACACCCTGAAATAAAGTTTAATCAGATATATGGGCATCTTCAGTGAAGTGGACATAGAATTACCAATTACACCATGTGAGATAATGAATGCTGCTCTAAGCTGCTAAATGTTGGGCAATTAGTCACAAAAAGAAAACTAATGTAAGACTGCCCCCTCCTTTTTTTTAATACTTTATACTACATAGATGAGAGATGAGAGAGAGAGAGAATAGTTTGATAAAAGTAAAAATACATATCTCATTATTTTTTTTTGTTTTCTTGCCATTTCTTTTGCTGTTTATACTTCCTGATTAACCCTAGAATCATACTGTCAAATTCCCCAAGCAAAATTTCCATTGGAATAGTAATCTGAATTGCAACAAATCTGTAAACTAATTTGGGGAGAAGCTCAAATTTTACAATATTCCCTTTCCAGTCACTCTACAATGATTTAAGACATTGATGTCCCTAAGATATTGTGATTTTCTTCATCATAGGTACAATATTTGATACATTATTACTACTTTTAAAATTTACTTTTTTCTTTAATGAATGAAATCTATTTGCTTTTAAACAATTATTGTTGGCATATATTATTGAATCATTACTAAAGTCTTATACTTAAGCATTTCAAATGACTTTATTGTATGCTTGTACTATCATTACCATGATATACTCTTCCTTGTAGGTGAATTTATCAATATACAATAAAAAAGGTTTATTTTTATTTCACAGCAACTGTATTACTTTTCTCTGTCTTTCTTTCCAATGATAGAAATACAACTAAAATTGATTTGGGCAAAAAGCATCCTGGAGATTTCCTAGCAGTCCAAATAGGGGAAAGGCAGCTGGACTCCTGAAACCAAGGACGAAAATGTGGCCTGGAATCTCTCTTGGATCTATTTCTCACCTAGTGCAATGGGCTTCAGTCTGTTTCAGTGTAGTCTTGTTTCTCACAAGCAGGGAGACTTAGATGTCAACAATTTCCAAGACTTACATCTTGAGACTTCCACCATCAGAAAGACTGAATCTTAAGTTATGACTTTTTGTTCCAAATTTTAAAATCCCTGTAGCAGAATTCACTGGATGCATCATTTCTGGTCAAAGGGACAGGGACTCAGAGAGGGGGATATCGCAGTGATGTACCAGATTATTTATTTGTTCAATTGGTGACTACTATGGTACAGATCATTTAAGTACCAGAGGGAAAAATTAAATTAAGAGTCAAGAAACCTAGGCAGCTGTCCTTATTATGACACTTATTTCTAAATGACTCTGTATAAATCACTTAACAGCTGTGGGCATCATTTTTCTTCTTTGCATAATAAATGTTTTGGATTAGATGATATCTAAGGCCATATCCAAATATATAATTTTATGATAGAAATATATGATAAAATATTTCTTCAAATTTAAATGTTAGCTTTTCAAAATATCTACCAAATGGCCCCATCCCCCATTATGAAGACTATGAAGAATGGCAGGCATGCCTGACAAGTTTCCAATGGACCATTCCAGTGCCAGTGCTGTTTAATATCAGTCAATGTGGCTTCCAAGTTGCATTTGAAAGGACATGAACTATTTGTATTACTTTATAACATGTCCCTGACCTTCACAGTCAAATTATTTTTTTCTTTTTTTTTAAAGATTTATTTATTTATTTATTTATTTATTTATTTATTTGTACAAGCACTGGGTACAATCAGAAGCACAGGAGTGTAAGAGAATTCACCAGAGCCAGAGCAGGGAGCAGAACAGGCAGACTGACAAAGTACACTGCTGAGGGGAGCAGCGGGCACTGCAGGAGAAGTCTGTGTGCCATGTGGGACCCTTGCCGGCAGCCGGGGACTGAACCGGTGCTACAGAGGCTGGGGCAGCTTCTCAGCCCAGCACTCAACCACTGCGCCACCAGGGGAGGCCCCAAATTATTTTTTTCTATTTGAGCAAGACAAACCCACCCTCCCCCTGCTAAAACAAAACAGGGGCTTGGAAACCAACAACCATACCTAGAGAAAACATATACATGGCTAAGTTGCAAATGTAAAGGTATAAATAGAAAAAGGTATGCTGACTGGCTTTCAAGAAGTTTCTATTACTTTAGGAAAATTCATCATTGCATTCATGCGTTCATTCATTTAATAAATATTATGAAATGATCAGACACTGCTCTAGGTGCTGTGATACAGCAGAGAATAAGAAAAACAAGATCCCTCCATTCCTGGGGTTTATATACTAATTAAGAAAATAAAAAATAAATGCATAATAAAGACATAGGCAAAATAATACTAGAGAGCCTTATGAAAAACCATGTGGTTCACCAAAAAAAGAAAAAGAATAAAAGTGACTATGAAATAGGGTAATCGGAGCAACTTGGAAGAGGATCTTTAGGGAAGATATTTCTAAGATGTTAATGAGGCCTGATAAGTAGAAGGAGCCAGTCATGTGATGGTTTAAAGGAAAAGTACTTGCAGCTCTTCTGCCCATCTGTGACTATGCAGGTCCTCTCTTTTTCTTTCTCCTTTTCCTAATAAACTTATTCTTTTAAAATGTAAAAACTAGCAATAATAAAGGAAAACATTATAGTCAGAGGGTTCTAGGTGGGAATTAGCATTATATGTCCAACACAAATAATAAAAAGATTGATCAGAGTTGAAATGGGAGAAAGAGACAAAGCCAGATCATGGAAGCCACAAAAATAACTTGCATTTTACACCAAGTGCAAAGAAAAGTTGTAGAGTTTTTCTAAACAGAGAATAACATGATCTGATTCATACTTTTATGAAGATCGCTTTGCTAACTGTGGGAAAAATGGCTCGGCATTAGATTTCTTCCAGAAATGTGGAAGAAATATGACACTAGTTTAACATTATAGTAAGTATGTATATTAGTAGATTAAAAGAGGAAATTTGTGAAATACAGGAAAAACATTTGATTGAAAATTCAGTGTGTATTCATGATTTAAAAAAAAATTACCACTCTGGTTGCCAGGTCAACATATAAACAGCTCAGAGATCACTACTTTATCCTAATAACAAATAAATAATTGAATAAACTGAAAAAATTAGCAAATTTTTCATATACACAAAAGAAGGGAGGTCATCAAATAAAACACTGCCCCTAAAATTGGAGAGATGAACAGAGACACAACTTACTGGAGTAGAAACTCACAGTCAGAAAACTTGTCAGTATTGGCTGGTATAAGCAAACCTGAATTGTAATTGACAAATTGCTGGAAGCTCAGTGTGGAAAATTTGGGAACTTAAAACTCAAAGGGGACTCAGGCATTGAAGTGCTGGGCAACAGACATCCACATACCAAAAAGATGAGTCTACATATTGATGTTAAAACCTTCAAAAACCTTAACTCAAAATAGATCATAAGCCAAAATGTAAAGCATAAGTCCATATATATGTAAAAAACAAAACAAAACAAAACAAAAACCTCCTAGAAGATAACAAAGGAAAACACCTAAAAGTCCTTGAGTTTGTGAATGTCATTTTAGATACAGCATCCAAGACACAATCCAAAGGAAAAAAGAATAGATTGGTTAGCCTTAAATGCTTCTGCTCTGCAAAAGACACTGCCATAAATAAAAAGATAAGACAGGCTCTAGAAATAAGGCATTTCTGGTAAAATATGGTCATCCAAATATACAAAGGTCACTTGAAACTCAGCAATAAGAAAACAAGCAAGCTAACTACAAAATAGATAAAAGACACTAACAGACACCACAACAGATAAAATAGAGAAGGGGCAAATAAACAGATGAAAAAACGTTCCACATCATATGTCATCAGGAAAATGCAAGTTAAAATAACAATGAAATACCACTACACATTTATACAATGGCCAAAATCCAGAACACTGGCAACAATAGATGTTAAGAGGATGTGAAAGAACAGGAACTCATTAATTGGTGGTAATGCAAAAGAGCAGTCATTATGAAAGACATTTTGGAGATTTCTCACAAAGGTAAACACACTCAACATATGATCTAACAATCTTGCTCCTTAGCATTTACCCAAAGGAGTTGAAAACTCAGGTCTACACAAAACCCTGCATATCAATGTTTATTCCTGTTTTTTTCATAATTGCCAAAATTGTGAATCAATCAAGATGTCCTTCATACTTCCCTGGCAGGCGAGAGACCATGCTCATGAAGGCGGTTTTTCCAGGGCAAGGCTTATCACTGACCTCCAGAGGTAATGACCCATGTGATTTCCCCAAATGTGGGAAACTCAACTGCATAATTTGTGGTAGTGGGCCGCTGTGCTCATGGTCTTCCCTGAGGAAAAAAAAAGAAAGAAAGAAAAGGTGTCCTTCAAAACACTATGGGCAAGGAGAGAATAAAATGATGTGATCAAAATCTTAAAAATAAAAACTGCCAGTCAAGAACATTCTATCATGCAAGGCTCGACTTCAAATAAAGGAAGAAATGAAGTCCTTCTCAGACAAACAGAAGTTGAAGCATTTTGCAAACACTAGACCCTTCCTCCAAGAAATGTTTAAAAGAGTAATCTGAATTAAAGAGAGGAAAATACACAAATAACGGAACAAGGAAAAAACAGAACCACAAAAAAAAGGACAAAAGTCAACAACAGACTTTCATATATCACTAATTACTCTTAAGTGTAAGTAGACTGAACTAGCAATGAAAAGGCACAGAGCACTTGGATGGATGAGGAAACAGAATCCAACCTTCTGTTGTTTCCGGGAAACATCCTGAGTTCCAAAGATAAACATAGGCTCAGAATGAAGGGTTGGAAAACAATCCTGCATCAAATGGGAAAGAGAGGAAGGCAGGAACAGTCACACTTAGATAAAATAGATTTCCAGCTAAAAAAGGTAAGAAAAGACATGGATAGACACTGTGTAATGAGTAAGGGAATAATACATCAGGAAGACATATCACTCCGATCAGTGTATACTCGCCAAATGAAGGAGCATCAAAATATATATACAAATTACTATCAAATCTGAAAACAGACTTCAAGAAAAACCACATTCAAGGCAGAGAAAAGTCAATACTCTACTTTTTACAATGGATGCGTCAACTGAACAGAAAATATGTCAGAACACAACAGCCTTAAACAAATGACTAAATGGGCTTAATGAACACTTATAGGGGAATACACACCAAAAAACCTAAATACATATTCTTCTCAAATACACATTCTCTAAGATTGAGTCCATGTTGGTCACAAGACCAATATCAACAAATTCATGAAGATTGATATACTAAGCAACTTCTTGGGCCATGAAAAGAAAACAGAAAAACCTCTCATATGTGATGACTGACAGCACACTACTGAATGACTAGTGAGTTAATGAGCAATTCAAAGGAAAATTCAAACAATACCTCAAGTCAAGGACACAACATTCCAGAACTTAAAGGACATAGAAAAAGCAATACTAAGAAGTGTGTATAGAGCAGCACAGGCCAAAATCAAGAAACAAGAAAGAGCTCAAATAAATAACCTTATCTCTCACCTCAAGAAATTAGAAAAAGAACAACAAAACAAAAAGTCAACAGAAGAAATAATAAAGATTAGAAGAGAAATTAATGAAATAGAAATAAAAAAGACAGTCCAAAAATTAATGGAACCAGAATGGGAAAGATGAGAACAGATGGGGAGGGATCACCATGGATTATCGTGGTGGGATATTGGTGATTTAGTTGTGGAGTGAGGTATGTTATCCTATTGTTCTATAACACATAAAGTGCTGTAAACTAACATAACTTCAATTTGAAAAAAAAAGAAAGATGTTCCTTCAGTAGGTGAATGGATCAACTGTGGCACATCCAGACAATGGAATACTATTCAGTGCTAAAAAGAGATGAGCTACAAGGCATGAAATTACTTGGAGGAACATTAAGCACCAAGTAAAAGAATCCAGCCTGAAAATGCTATATACCCTATGATTCCAAATACACAACATTCCAGAAAAAGTAAACTATGGAGACAGTGAAAAGATCAGTTGTTAGCAGAAAGGAATGATAGGCAAAGATGGCGAATTTCTAAGGCCGTGCAACTGTTCTGTATGATACTAGCATGGTGCATAACATGCCATTGTACATTTATCCAAACTCACAAGATGTACATCAAGAGTAAACTTTAATGTGAACCATGGTCTTTGGGTGACAATAATCTGTCAATATAATCCATCAGTTGTAACAAATGTACCATTCTGGTGGGGGATATTGATTATGGCAAAGAGTATTCATGTGTAGAAGCACAGGGTACATGGGGTGGGGGGACCTGTTTTCTTATATTTCTGTGAATCTAAAACTTCTCTTTAAAAGTCTATTAAATTTTTTGAAAAATAGAAATCTACTAATAGGAATGTCCTTAACTTGATGAAACCTACAACATGTATAACACATAATGATGAAATACTGGAAGCACTCGTTTTAAAACTGGAATCAATGCAGGAATACCCAGTATCACAAATTGTATTGGAGAACCAAACAACAGTTAAGACCAAATGAAAAAAGAAAAAAGAATTAAGATTCCCAGTAGTAACATAAGGGTGTATAAGAAGGGGGAAAAAAACTGTCTGACTTGCAAATATTGATTACCTACATAAAAATAATAAAAAATCTGCAGATAATTAGCTAAGGAGCTTACCAATTTATTGGACAAAAATTTAAAAAACAATTGTATTTATATTCTCCAACTCTTAAAAAACAAACTTTTTAAAATTATACCTAAATGTTTTCAAAATGAGAAATGTCAAAAATTAAAAGTAGCAAAAATTCAAAGCACTCTTTTAGGACTAATTCTAACAAAAGAAATCCAAGAGCTGTAAAGAGAGAAATATAAATTTTATTGAGATGCATCTTTAAGATCCAAATAAAAAAGATATACCTGATGGTTCCACAGGTTTAAAATAATTGCAATTAAAAATCCCTAGAAGTTCATTTTGTAGAATTTGACAAACTATTATAATACTAAAATTTACATATGCATGCTTTATTTCTGAATTCTGACTTGATAAAACTAAAATTTAAACACAAAACTATAAAAGTTTTAGAATATAGGAAATTTCTTTATAATGTCAAAGAATATGCTCTCTTAAACTGGACACAAGAAACAAAGATTATAAAGGCAAGAAGTAACAAACTTAACTACAGCTGAGAACAGTTATCATCAAAAGACATTGCTGGGGATGCTGCCCTCGGTCAGTGTAGTTCAGGTAGTCAGATTTCCCTGACAGGAAAGACAACCTCAGTCCCAATAACTGGAGATCAGTACAAAGACCATCTCTCTCTTTTGCAATTTCTCACCATTCTGTAGGGAATTAATCATCACCTTTATAATGCCTTCTGGGCTGGCAGGCATTTAGAAATAATAAAGACTTTACCTCAGAGAGAGAGAGAGTTTGTGTCTAGGGAAAAAAAAAATGTCACCTTGAGTGGGTGCTTTGTATAATCACTGACAAGCCTAACATTTGTCCGAAGACAAAAGATTTGTTTTTGTTACATGGCTTTTCAAGATAACAAAAAGGAAAACTGAACATTAAACAACTTTCATAAAAAAATCACCAAAACGTTTTTAAAAGTTAGACAAAATTCAAATATGTATTGTAATCTGTTTCTCCACAAGTGTATTAAATTGTTTACATATTTAATATTTATTAAAACATAAAATTTTAAATGATAGTCTAGCAATGTACCCATTTATTATCAGTATTGTCAGCATTGATCTATAAAAACCACAAATTACATGTAGTAATATGTCATAAATTTCCCATAATTTTAATTTTCTTTCAGTTTCCATTTAGTAAAAGAATATCCAAACAAAATTATTACTTGATGAAAGGGATTTAAAATTTCTTTGAAATCCACTGAAGATCAGTGAGATAAATGACTCTATTATTTGGCCTGGCAGACAACGGGCTAAATGAGAACATCCTAGTCTAAACAATAAAAACATAGTCAAGAAAAAATAGGCAACTTTATTATCTCAAGTCTGGAGAAACAACCCCAAATATTATCATACTACAATTTATGTTCAGAGAAATTGTCATACTATAAGATAGATAAAAATTTTAAAAGCAAAATGAATATATCATGAGGACAAATGTTTCTTTTGAAAATCAGTTATTAGGAGTTTGGGGAAACTACAAAGTCAGTTGGATGTATTTACATTTTTGTTTGTAGTTTTCCCAAACTATTAGTTTTACCAAACATACATAATGTCTGAAAGTTTCCACTTTTAACATTACCCTAAAGATTTACTTTATTAAGTTAATTTACATGTTTTAATACATAATTTGTGTACAAAGGGTATGTGATATTGTGAAAACAAAGCCCCACACAGCTAAAGTTCTATGAAATAAAGATAACAGGAAAGAATAATAAAAAGATAAGCCATTAACTCAAAAAATTACTTGAAATATATGTAATCAACAAAGTAGATTAGTATAATCAGATCTATAGATATAGGTATAAATACGTATACGTATACGTATAGGTATATACACATACATACACAAGCATATGTATAATTCATAAGTATATATACAGTAAAATATGTATTTGTGAATTAACTACATGAGGACAAATTAATTATTTAAGAACAAAACCCAATAGAAAAATAGGCAAAAGTAATGAAAAGAACTGGAAGTAAAATGCTCAATAAACATGTATAATGATGTTTAGTCAATTATCAATGGAACACAATTTTTAAGTAAAATTAAAACTTTTATTTTTCAAAAGATAGTGGATGGACAGGATCTTTGAGACATCAGTTTCTACAGGGAGGGATATGAAGGGTAAGTATCTGGAGGGAACAGTCAAATCTGGAGCAGAGCTAGAGAAGTGAATACCACTTTAATTGTGGACTTCCAGTCTTTAGAATTGTAAGAAATAAATTTTTGTAGTTTAATAGTTCAAGTCACCCAGTCTTTGGTATATTTTTATGGCAGCCAAAGAAACCAATAGTGGGGCAAGGGTTATGACGATGTTTCTGGTTTCTGGTTATCGATGTCAACTTGTTTCCTAAGTCTGAAAGTCGTCAACGTGTCTGGAAAGTTACCTGAGTAAATGGCCATAGGTCCCTTTGGGTAAGGACTGAAGCTACCATCCTTGCATGCACATGTTATGGCATCTTAGGGTCCTATCTCTTGGGAATCTGGCCACCCATTCAGTCTCTGGGTTCTGGATCTGAAAACTAACTCAGATTAAAAAAAGAGATAAAAATCAAACAGTAAAAAATTCATCAGTTTGACATGTACCATACAGTGACTAATAGCACATTCACAATATTGTATAACTATT